ACCGAGCGACAGGTCCTCCGGAACTATAAGACCTATAGAGACAGACCGAATCTACCACCGGTTGCCTCACACGACATATCCGTTCACCGCTCACGAACAACCAACGAATGTCTCCATCCTCCCGCGCTTCCCAGAGTTACGGATCGTCGGAGGTTACGGGGTTCTCGGATCTGTTAAATTGAGCAAAATGAGGAATGGCTCAAATGCATGATCTGTTTGGTATTTTGAAAAATAAAAAGTATAAATATGCCTTATATAGGTATGGTCGTCCACTATATTATTCAAATATAGCATGATAGGTCCACTTTAAGTTGAATTGTTTAAAGGTGGGGTATGTAATTTATTTCAGAAACACTTTTTGTTATATTCCATGGAATGCTCTTAACATCCCGATAGCAATGAATATATTAAATGCTTTGACAATAAATACATACACAAATTTCATCTGTGGAAGCCGTAGCGCTGTAAAAAGCACAACCAATTATTTTGGCTGGCCTACCTGCCTGTCAGCCTTCCATCTGTGCGCAAACTTATCTCGTGCCCTCATTGGTCATGTGCGCGTTCGTGTGTGTTGGAGGAGGGGCTCTGTAAGGAAGTCTGAAGGAAGAGGCAGATTTTTTTCGGCTGCGTAGTTTCAAATTCTGGCGCACTCGAGCTGGTTTCTCCAAAATGACATACCCCACCTTTAAGTTAATTTAACCCTTGAAATTAACGCTTCTTTTCTTTGGAGACTTGTCCAAGACACCACAAAAGTTACAAATTCATGTAAATATAAATACAACAGACAGGGAATACAATCCTCTGAATAGACAATGAAGAGACCCAATCCAGCTCAAATAACCAGTTTGATGAAGAACGAACAGTAACACTTTTTAATGAAGATAATTTGCGAAGGAGGAATTCAATTGACTTCTGTATTTATGAACCTATATTGACTTATAGTCTCAGGTTAACTTGACAATCTGAGGATTACCTCTCTTGGTTAAAGGGTAACTCCCTTTTATTACAACTTTTAAAGTTTTGCTTATTAGAATTTAGGTCTTATTTTTATTGTTAAGGATGTATTTCCAGTCTGCAATTATAGTATTGCATTCACCAATTAACAAATGCTGAGATCTCTGAACTCAACAACAGTATGACAAGTTAAGAAACGCACACAATGTAATTCAGTTTCTTTGGGTCAGTTGATGTGTTCGAGAAAAGTAGAGGGGAATTAGCTCAAATGGCTGAACGCTCGCTTAGCATGTGAGAAGTAGCGTGATCAATGCCAGAGGACTTTCAACCCCTTCCTCTCTCAGTCTGAGAAACTGAAACATCTGTGTCTGGTACGCTCATTTTCAAATCAAGAGGTCAGCAGTTAGGTCCAACCTTCTGCAGTCAACATGCCGAAGTGTCCTTGGGCAGTACACTGAACCCCAAATTGTTGGTAGTCTACAGTATTGAAGTGTTTGTAGGTTGCTTTGGATAAAAGCTTCAGTTAAACATGCAATGTTAAGTAAAAATGTATAGCAGACAGACAGGAGTACTTATCAAAGTCACCTCGTTATTCGAGACGACAGAAGCTGCTTCGGTCTGAAAAATGTACGGAAAAAGTTTCAATTGAAGTTATTATGACATAATTAAAGTTGCTACGAAAGGTTTGCAGCTGGTGTTTGGTGCATATGTCTGCTGGGGGAGTGAAAAAGAGTGATACCTTGACTTTTACCTGAAGGGCACAGATTCCTAGGAAGGCTCCAGGGTGAACACCAAGTACTCTATGAAGCTACAATTCCCTGAAGTGCTCTTCACAGAAGGAGGAACACTGCGTTCTGACAAAGCTTTTGTTAAGACTGGTGAGCCACAGGGACTGAGTCAAGTCGAAAAAAACAAGCTTCATTTTTGATGCAGTTGAAGGGAATGCTGTTCCCTTTCAGGCCTTGGAGAAGGGCTCCAGTCTCAAATGTTGAGTTTGGATGCTGAAAATGACAATAAATCTCTACTGGGAATGCATCACTCTGGAAGTATAACTCATGTTTATGTTTGGTTGCTTTATATTGCTAAGCATACAAACAGTATGACTGAACCCATGGTTTTCATACTTCCACCTGACTTTATCCTCAAAGACATTTTTTGCGGGTTTACCTTCACAATATGTGTAATGTTAAGGAGCTGCAGCTGAAATGTTTTCTTCTGCCATTGAACTTTACTTTACTTTTCAGTAAAAGAGTCAATCTGTCAAGGATTGTTGTATTCACTTTGGCACTTCCATTCAAACCCTTAAGTGTATGTTTCTTTTGTGTTCTTTTTAATGCACTTAATGACATCTATCTCCATTTTCTCTACTCATTACCTCTGTCAGTGACATATGATGTTGTAATCTTCTTGTTCAATGATGGATTAAGAACATTTTGGTCATAAAGCCTTGACAACATATGCCTATTGACCGTTCAAATAAAAGTTATTATCTTGAGCAGATTGACAGTAAATACCACCGGAGAACCCACAGTCTGAAGTCGAAGTGTCACTACAGTATATCGGACTTCAGCTGAATGCATTTGCATGTGGAATGTGTGCTGCTGCAGTAGTTCATCTTGTGTTGACAGGTTTTCTCCGGTTGATCGACCGGTCATCTGGGTAGATTACATGTCTGATCTGCACGTTGATAGATTATAGCGACCCTGCAGCCTGAGTATGGTTATCTCTGGCTCTGGTTCTGACTGGTGTCCCGTTGCTCTCGCAGCTGACAGATTTGGTGTGGTGTTTATAATTTACCCTTGCATCGGCTGGGTATGCAGATGGGGAGGATTGACCTGCTGCGACCTTGGAAGAGTGCCCTGGCGGAGGACGACGGCGACCTCGGGATGGGCGGGACGTGCTGCAATGCAGCAGAGCAGATCAGAGGCACTGCATGCTCTCACCCACACACTCACACACACACACACACACACACACACACACACACACACACACACACACTCAAACATAAACTGAGGCTGAACAACACAACACACACTTACTGGACCTTTAAACAGCCAAACGTATACTGTATAGATGCACACAAATCAATAGTAACACACACACACACACACACCCACACACACACACACACCACACACACATTGCCTTCTGGATGAGCAGGCGAGGGTGTGTCTTCATCAACCTGCTGCTGTCTGGCTGGCTGAAATACACACACCGCCCACATGACTCCGCATATTTAGCAGCACGTAAACAAGCACGTGCTCCCCCACATTTACCTCCACACCCCTTCAAAGATGCTCACAACCAGAAAGAAAAGATTCAAACACACACACACACAGTTTATAGAGATGTGGAAAGCCTGCTTGTACATAGAAATTATATATAAACGGTCCAAATGCAGTTTAACAAAATAGATTATTTATAAACACCCATTTAATACAGTTAAAAACACTCGTAGAGTATTACTGCACTATATAATGGAATGACACATTTTTGCCTCAGAGTTTTTTTCTTACTACTGTACATTATCTACCACAACAGCACCAAAAATAACTTTTCCTCTGCATCTAAGCAACGTCTCCTTATCACACAGGCACACACATATAAATCTTCAATGCTTTTCTTTCTTTCTTTGCACTGCAACAGTCACTGCTTTACAGATAAGGGGATCACTCTTCCCATAGGAGGACAATATACAGCGGTGCCAAGATATCTGATTTAAATAGCAGCACTGCACAGACCCTCATTAAAGAGATTTTCCGGGGCAAAAGAGTAAACCCTAATCACTCTGAGCAATCAGATCAAACCAGATCAGCCTCAGTCAATACTTCAGCCCAGTGGACGTTGGTATTTGCGACGACCTTGTGCTGACATTCATTTATTTCTTGGGGGCGTTCCCATACAGAACCATATCCATAAAAACTACACACGTTACTTCAATACTAACCATGAAAAAGTATAGTGGTGTTGTATATTTCTCCCTTTGTCAACAATCCAATGAAAAGACCAAACCAACAACGTATTGATCCTGCTAACAAGTATTGCCTGCCAAAGCCTGAATCTTACTGCTCTGTGCTGCAGAGCTCTGTTTTTGTGCTTAAACATACAAAAAAAAAAGCCACACTGTTGCTCTGCGTTACATGTTCTCTCATTATTAAAAAGAAACATGGGAACTATAGTTAATTTCAAATCAAGCAAATAGACCAAATAAATACCCAATAATGTGCATTAATCCGCAGCTGGAAATAGTCCCCAATGAATGCGCTAGTTACTCTTGTAGTATTGTTTTCTAAAAACAACAGTGCCCAGCTTTTTACGGAAATGATTCAGTCATTATTTAAAAATAAAGATAATATGTATTACCTGTTTGTAAAGATTAACGTATTCATAGGAATAAATACATTTGGTGCCAGCGAAATGGGTGTGATTGTGGATTTTTAAAGTAAGGAAATTAACTAGCGCATTGATTTTGGTGGAAAATACATTTTCAGCGTTGCCATTTGACCAAATACTAAACACACACACGGTGTGTCGGAAGTCCTTAGTAGCGTAGCAGATGTTGGAGCACAACTGGATTTAGCCTGTTGGTCAGGATGTGAGGGAAGGTGACGGGCGAACAGGAAGTCCCCGTGACTTAACAGGAAATGTTTTCCTGTTTGACTCTATTGTCTCCCAACTGACAGGATGAGACACGGCAACATGTGATGTTTACCATGTGGTGGTCAGGATGTGTTTCTGCTCGAGCTTTAATGTTTAACTTCATCAGAATCTCTTGTTTTTTAATAGCACTTTTGGTTTATTCTTCAGCACAGATATTGAAACAACTGATAAACAACTTATTCTTGACCTTTTTTTGTCATTGTGGTTTATTTATAGATTTTTTTTATGGGCTGCACACCACTCCAATGAGACCTTTGGCTGCAGGGTCAACGCTGCACACACTCGAGTCATTTTAGTTCACTGAAATAAAACCTTAAACAAGTGATACACTTTTACATAAAGAAGTCTGTTTATTATTTGATAGATATATCATATGCATTTTCATATAATAGTTCTAATACCAGTAAGTCAAAAAATAATAATCATATTATATTTTATTATATATATAGATATATAGAAAACTAATCCAATAATCTACTTTTTACTTGGACTTTACTTCCTTGTAAAAAACAACATGGAGATACGTATAATCTTCTCCCCAGCTTCAATATAGCGCTTCAAGGGAGTAAAGAAGATAATACAAAAAAGAAAAGTTACACCTGAACATTGCATCTTATAGAACTAGAACATCTGTCAGCAGCTAGTAATGATGACCATCTCGGTTTAAGACACAGGAAGAGTTTTTTTTCTTTTCTTTGCAAGAACATCTTTGACAAATATGCTTTTGTTTTTAAATTCAGTTGAAATGGCTGAAAACGTTAAAGACATTGGCAATCACGTGATCCGCTGTATGTGGAGAGCAAGAGACAGAACATTAGATTACACCAGTCCCATTACACACTCTGAAGATGAAGGAGGGGAGGCAGAGAGCGGATAAACAGGGAGGGGAAATGAATCCGGCAGGTTATAGAAAGTTTCATTTATGTGCTTCTCCACCAATGGTGTAACATTTGTAAACAGAGGGTAGTGGCACATACAGTGCAGTCTTCTACATCTTCTCCCACCCACCCCCAGCGTCTCTCCCCTTTTTTCTGGGTACTCTCCAGGAGGTAGCCGCGTCACAGTTGGAAGGGAGAGATATCCACTTTAATCCATTTAGCTGCGGCAGTCTTCGTGAGTTTTACCAACCGTACTAGCATTTCCACCAAAACTCCCCCCGTGTCTCTCAAACTCTCAATATGTAGAAATGAAAACATGGAGGCAGTCAGTTTCAGGGCATGGAAGAGGCCATGGAGGACGGACCGTTCTCAGTCCCGGAGGAAGGCGTCCGGCGGTCCTCGTTTCTATCAAGGCCAGAGACGCAGGAGGGCTGGACCACTGTGACCCCCCCTCCGTATGAGGAGCCTAGCTGGTCAGGTGTGGGTCAAGAGGATGCATCAAAGCTGTAGAACAAGAATAAAAAGAACATATGTTTTTAATAATGTGTAACTTTTGTGGGGCCTTATGGAAAGAAGAAGTAGTTAGGTTACCGGTAGAAACAGGATTTCATAGACAGTGGAAATTAATTTTCAATTGTTTTTTATTGATGCTTGGAATAACACAAACATGTCATTACATTTTAGGGTTAAGGTTGTCGCGGACTACGAATTGACATAGTCGAATCTGATTGGTCACCTCCTGCCAATAGTTGACTGATTCTAGAATAATGTGTGATAGCCTGCTAGCTTTTCCTCATTGTAATTACAACTTCCTGCTGTTCCCCCCCATTTTCCAACTCAAAGAAGGAAAGCAAAGGGAGAGTCAGTGAGACAAAGGGAACAGCTGGTTATACCCACCTCCCCCTGCTGATTCAAACGAAAAATTGCTCATTAATACAAAATGAATTTAGTGCAATGTGTGTGCTACATTCTTATATGAATAAACTGCAAACAAATGTATGTTTTGGTTTTACAACGGTAGCCTTTGGGAGTTCCTATCAGGCCTTACTGAGGCTGTCGCCAACCCCTCCAACACATATACTGAATTCAACCTTGAAGGCAACATTCAATTCTTACAATAATCCATCAAATGCTAATGGTAATATCTTGTTAAGAAATGGATTTTGCCATTTGCCAAAGGGATCTTTCACAATCTGGCTACCCTATGATATGGTCTTTGATTGTCCCTGAAATATAAAGCATTAGAATATGATTATTTAACCATAAATAAAGCCATCAGTCACAATGTCTCAGACAGACAGATAGATAGATAGATAGATAGATAGATAGATAGATAGATAGAGAGCAGAAATCATATGAAAGCAAGTGGTTCTAAGTCAATATGATGTACGTCACTGCAGGCTTTTGTGTTGCTTATCAGTGACAGATCCTGGGTCTGTCTCCTCCACAGCAGAGAGCCCAGGGACGGCCACGGGCCCGGCTTTTACTCTGCATTGTTAGCACATCCTTTTTTTGCTTTTCTTCTGAGCTCGGAAATCTACTGACATAAAGTAAACTTTCATCTGCTCCTCACCTGAGTCATTGATATTTTTTTATGAGGCACAGAAACAACGAGGATGTGAATGAGAAAGAAAAGAAGGAAGACTTCAACCTTAAGGAGAAAGGGTCACCATATATGGGAGAACCACCATGAGCATGTGTCTGAATTATGCACATTTGTATATGCGTGTGTTCTGGCTAGGGGGGGTGCGGCTATGTGCTAGCAGGGAGGCATGTCTTGTCTTGCAGTTATTAAATATTAACACGGCCATCTTGCCCTCCCACTGGGACCTGATTGAAGATGTAGGATGGTGCACGGGGACAGGATTGGGTCACCTCTAGTTCCGTAGTCCCACTGTAAAGCCACTGTGATTACACTTGGGCCAGAACAAGCTTGCGAACACATTACTCATCTGGAGCTGGGACGCTCGGCTAACACAAGGACTGACCCTGTAATGGCATGGGATCACAACAGAATATAAATCAAGATATTGTGTTGATCACCTAATGATTAGCAGAAGAACAGAGTGAAAATATTTTATTATTTTGTATGGTCCTGACTCAGAGACTTCTTATTGTGATCACAAACACCCTAAAACCCAACTGCTAAATGTAAATATATTTAAAGATTTTGTATAAAGGAAGAGGTCTGTATGTCAAAACAGAATAATTGGAGCTAATTACAGGATTAGGGGCCCTCGTGGTAATTTTGGCAAACACAATGACCTTCAATGGCTGTTCTTCTTCTAAAGACTTTAATTAACGCAAAATTAAAAAAAAGAGACAAAGTCGAGAGAGGTTCTTACCTGTCCCATAGCTTGACATTTCTACAGTTGTTGGTGCAGCAGCCAGCTGATATCAAAGCTGTAACAAAGAAAAAGGAAGAGACGAGATGTCAATGTGTTGTTTTGACAGGATAAGAGCGCCTCAATAATCAGAGAACAATGAGAAGATTGATTCTTGATTGAGTAAGTAGCTAAAGTCAAGAAGCGATTAGCTAAACTTAGCAAAAAAAAGACTGCAAACACGGGGAAACAGCTAGCATGACTCTGTTTCAAGTTCAGCTACGTGTTATAACTATTTAAACTCTTTATCTTTGTGCACGTCACTTCTGTAACATAAGCCGGAACCCCCTGATGAATAGCTGTTTGACTAAGAATTTGCCAAATCCTGAAATTTCCAAAGACTCAGATGACAGTTTTTAAGGTTTTGCTTGTGACATAAAGTATATAACGTGTTAATTAGTGAGCTTTAGAGTTGCTGTCTGGTGATTTGTTTACTTTGGAGAGAGCTGAGATCTGGCTATCTTGGTTTTAGTCTTAATGCTAAGCTAGGCTAATAACAGAGTGGGCTCCATATTTTAATCTAATTGGATGTTCAATTTGTACCGGGAAGTCAGAATTTCCAATCCGAAAATGTCCACTGAAACCCCCCTGAAGTCCGATCTCTGACCCGGACAGTTGGGAGAACCTCACTAAACTATTACATAAATGTAGCGAAGCATTTATTAATTATGTTTATTAACACTTCTGGCTTATTTGTATGTCATTGGATCAGTTGTACACACAGTACTGTCCAACGTGTATCCATGGATGGGTTGCTACCATTTTTTTACTTGTGTAATGTGTTATCAATTGTTATTGCTAAGAATGAGTGACAAAGCTCAAATCATTTCGTTACAAACTTTACAATTTAGATGCCAGGGAGGAAGAGCTTTTAAAATTCACTGACAAGACAACACAACACTCACTCAGACGGTTCATGGCCGTGTTCTTTAAATGGTGTTGTTTAGAGCAGCATTTACAACTTTTCCACACCCTCGTCTCGTTTGTTTCAATCTCTGCTGCAATGGTGCAAGCGACAGCAACAACCTTCGAAGAAAATGTGAGTCATAATGTACACACACATGCACACCTACGGGCTGACTGATTTAGACCTTAATCTCAAAGTGTATCAAATTTAAGACGAGGAGATAACATGGAACAATAGCAGGAGACAAATGGGGGCTGAACACGGGAGATCGAATCAGGGCTTTAAAATGGTATTTGCGGTATCTCACAGTGACAAGTGTAAGACATCACACTATCGCTATAAACATCATTATCCTTAAACACAAGACAGGCTATGGACTCTATCTTGACATCTGGACCAAAAACTATTATGCTGCTTTAAATCATCTTGCCAAGAAAAATGTCAAAGTAAATGGTGTTAATCTAAAGCTGTTTTAAAGTATAGGATACACAGTATTGGCCCTCAAACTTACTGTGAGGTTCTGTTCAGAGCTTGGTACAGTTAAACGATCGAAAAATGCCTTTGCCTTAAGCAGTGCAAGCTCTAAAAGGAAAATGTTATCCCTTTATACCTCCTTTGTCCTTCAAAACAATTCTATTATCCCCCCCCCATGCTTGATAATGCTTTCGCTCTTTCTCTCTCCACCAACCATTTCCTCCCCATGAGCCCATAATCATGTTTTCACCACATTTCCTCTCCTTGGCGCGCTTACACATCTCATTAAAGATTCATAATGCTCGCGTCCGCCGAGATCTGTTCCAGTAGCCACCTTCCTTAAATCCCCTGCCCTTTTCCTTGCTTTGTTTATCTTTGGAGTGAAGAGGGGGGGTGCAAAACTGCACAGCGAGATATCAAAACTCCTTTAAAGTGTCGGGGGATGCAGAGGTGGGCTGGAGGGTGTTTTTCGTATGGAGGTCAGGATGTGAAGAATGGAATTGATTTCACAGCTAAAGTGGAGCTCATAGACTGGTTAGAGAGCAGTTAATACATGATCCCATCTCACTTCCTTCTCAAACACAAACAAAGTCCACAGGAAATTTAGCGGTTAGCTATTGAAATGGTAAAATTGTTTTTGTTTGGACATGCTCTGCTAGATTTTAAAAAACATATAAGAGCCGAGCAATGACATCCAAGCATTTTCTGAATATGTTTTTGGATGGATGCTGGAGGCCTGAAACATGGATTCATGTTGGTTTTATTGAGGCAAAATAAATATTAGGTAAGTGATTTGGTCCAGATGTGTTCCTGAGGATTTTTCACAATAATCACATGTCTGCAAGGCATTGTATTAACTTTGCCCTCCCCCCCTGTTCCTGAGCTCATTATCTTGCCGGGACGTCCAGATCAGTTTCAAACTTGCACGATATGTTCCTGTCATTGCATAACCTTTTATTTACCTGTACAACAAAGTAGATACAACTGCAATGTTAGCAATTAGCCTTCGATACAATCAAAATACAACTCCTAAGAAAACATGGAATTCACTACAACAAACGTATTCAGTAAATAAACGCAAGAAAAATTCAGTTTTTTGTTCCACGTATCAAGCTATCTCCCTTCTGGGTCTGAGATCTCACTCTCAAGCACAATAACAATTAGTCTAAATGGATTTGCTGTCTCAAGGTCTCTAGTAACACACAAACAAACAAAGACACACACACAGGTCACAAGATTACTATCTGCTGTCTTGTGATGGAGCATTCCTGTTAACACGCAGCAGGCATGTGCCTCAATCCAAGAGAATCTTTAAAGTGATCAATGTCTGATAAAACTTGTCATGTGACCCCGTCAAGGAGAAACATACAGCACATTTGGCCCGTGTTTGTTGATTTAGTTATGAGAAGGGCGTTAAAACCAAAATTGGATTTAATAGGATGTGAGAGATGTGTAAAAGGGTAGAGGAGTCTGTGTGGGTCAGAGCAAGAGTCGAGGCTATAGATAATGTGATTACTCGAGAATAATGTAGAGCTTAAGCTCCTTTAAATGTCACCTCTGTACACCAGAGCTCGAGTGAAAGGCTCTAAATGTTCCCACAAAGAGATCTGGGAGATTGGCCGGGGAGAAGCTGCTCCCACGCTGCATAAATCACTGCTCCGGGTGAGGAACAATTCTCCCTCTGGAGCCAGCCACCAATTATAAACTCCATACCATTCATAATCCTGCAAATTCAAGTTCTATGAAGATCGGTGCATAAGTTTGATTCAAAAGGAAGCTGTGATCAAAATCAGCTCTAACAAAAATGTTGAATGAATGTATCCGTATTCTTCGTCCAAACCAGTAATCGCATTGTTATTGATGTCTGAATCGAGCCAATAAACACATAAACTTTCTCTCCTCACAGATATTCATCTCTCAATCCTCTATGATCTGTCAACCCCCCCTCACTCCTTCTTCTTCTTCTTCTTCTTCTTCTTCTTCTTCTTCTTCTTCTTCTTCTTCTTCTTCTTCTTCTTCTTCTTCTTCTTCTTCTTCTTCTTCTTCTTCTCTCAACCAACAGGATCAATGCAAGGTAATTTCCCTCAGATCTCCTAAAAAACTGCCATATCAATTATTCAGCCGGGCTGCGCAGTGAAGCCTGTGGAGATGCACGGTAGATCAGTGACCTTCCGTTTAGCTAGCAGTCAGTCAGACAATCAGGGAGACAGCCAGTCAGTCAGGGAGGCGGCCATGTAGGAGAGCTACTTGTCTTGACGTCCCTCGGGCGGCTACAGTCAGTGCTGTTACATGCAACTCTTCCAGCACGAGTCTCTGAATGCATAATACAGAGTACACAGAACACCAAGAGGAAACGACGCAGGATAGTTAAGGATTCAAGTCAATGTTTGGCGAGTCGCACGGAAGGGCCCCAGTCTTGAGAGTCCAGACTTCTAGTCGATAAAACACTTCAGCCCCCGGGGAATTTCATCGCTTTGGTCATTTCTGCCGCACTAGATTTTAGAACCGATATGCTGATTGGCTACACTGGTAGTCAGTCATGGAGGCATAAGGTGTCAGTCCTTGATGGAGATATACCCTTGTGGCTTGTCTTTCTTTTTGTAATAAATTAAAGGGTGAGTAACTTTGTATAAAGAAATTAAAACTTTAAGTTGGCATTTCCAAGGCTGGCATTTTGAAATTCATGGACATAAAGTTGTCGAAAAAACGTTTTTGACATTTTCTACGATACATATACAGTATAACTACATGACTTCAACAACAGGTGTACTACTGCAAAGTGGCTTCAAATGGCAGATGTTATTAAAGGGTGCCCTAATGGGCTTATTCCCAGGTTCATATTGGAATTTTGTGCCTCAAAACGGTCTTTCTTTTTGTCCTACTGCCTGTGCTGCAGCACCTCTTTTCACCCTCTGTCTGAAACCAGAGCCCAGTCTGCTCTGATTGGTTAGCTGGCCGGCTCTGTTGTGATTGGTCAACCGCTTAGAGCTGTCCCGCCCCTTCGCATATAAATGTGAAGCGCGAGTGAGAGAAACTCTCTCTGGAGGGAACTTGGGAAATGTCGTATTCGCAGACCATTTACATATACAGAAACCTATTTAACACACTAAAGGAAAGGGAGAATCACAAAAAAGCACAATAGGGCCCCTTTAAGCCAATTTATGATAATAGAAAATGATGCATTGACTCACTAAAGAACACCAAATGAATATACTGAAGAGGGACAACACAAGTTGGGTCTTTTGTTTTAAAGTAATCGTTCCACATGTTTGGATACTTTTTTTGAGTATCAGTTGGGAGGTCATTAGCTTAGCTGAACGTTAAGAATAAAGGCAGCAAGAATTCACAAATTTCACAAATCTGTATACTTGAACCTCTATATATCACTAATGATATAATTAATTAATTGCTTTAATCTGTAAACAATTATCTTTAATTGTTTTAAAGTTAACCTTTTGAAGTTCAACTCTTTGCAACAACAATAATAAAAACCTTTCCCAGGATATGGAAATCAATGGCTGCTCTCCTACTGTTTAATTTTACATTGTTAATATTTAAGCTCACATTAGCTGTCATATAAGACTAAGTAGAGTATGAAAAGAAGGGAATAAGAGAAAAGTCATGCTGCTTCATGTTAT